CCATGGTTCAAGTCCCGGACCCAGTGGCTTAGACTCACGCCGGGCACATGTGCATGCGTGCCCAAGATCCCAAGGAGATTGAAGGAGGTGGGACTGCGGCATGGCTATCGCCCCAGGGAGTGATTTCTCGCTTTCTGTCTGTTTCTGTCTTTCTGGCGAAAGCACAAGCCCTATAGCAAAAAAACTCTCAAAAAAATAAATAAATAAATATATATGCACTTTCTGATACCGCATCCATCTTTATAAATTAGGGAAGAAATGATCCCTATAAAGTCTATAGAGAAATGGAATATTTTGAAATAATGGCAACCTAGACAGAAATTACATTGTTCTGAGATACTTTGTTAAACAAACTACTTATTAACAGTTACTGTTAAACTAGCCTATCCCCTTTAATTCTATGGAATATTGTGAATGAAAAGGAGCAACCACTCTGATTTCCTTCTTACTGCTACACTACTTACACAGTTCACAGTAAGTACTCATTCTCAGAGAGATACTCAGACAGCAATCATCAAATCACCAAGATAATTCTAAAGACAGAAAGTGAAAATACCTTTCTAATTCACAATCCCATTTACTTATTTAAAGTGCTATCTTGTATCAAACTACAAGTGGTCCTATTTCTTATCACTGCTTAGTTTGTGTAATTGCCAAATATGAAGGGACACTACCCAAATTACTGCATCAGATGATGTCCACTCAATAAGCAGAAAATTCAGTGAAAACTTTTCTTTTTTTTGGAGAGGTTTTTGTTATAAGGGCACATGTGCTCACCAGAGAGACAGAGAGACAGAAAGTGAGAAGTCAACCTACAGTGGGGATGGCCACACCACAATCCCTTCTCCTCCATTCTCCTCCCGGGATCTTGGGCATGCACACACACACACGCCTGCCATGAGTTTAAGCCACCCGGTCCCAGACTCAAACCGCAGTGGACCACATGGGAGTCCAGGGACATAGCCATTACGCTAACTGCTGGTCCCCAGTGAAAACTTTTCTGAAGGAACGTGTACTAATTCCAACTTCCAACGACTGGACTTCCACAGGTACGTTAGGAATACGAGGAATTAAGATGGTAGAGCTCTTCAAGAACTCCACTAGGCCTTAGAGCAAAGATGCTGTTTGCTCAAGAGGAAGGCTCTGTAATGATTCCCAGAAGAGTATAATTACTTCTGGGAAGACTGAGGTGTGGAGTATTTTGTAAAACCTGTTTCACTCTCAGAACGATAAAAATCTTTTTTTTTTTTTTTCTTTAAAAAGGCAGCAAGCAAGCTGACCTCAATTAAGAGCATTCTGGCACAACACACTCGAGAAAGAGTTGTGAAAGGAATTCTTAACTCCAGATCTGTCTGCCCTCTCCCAATGAAACCTGAACCAAGGACCGCAGCACCCAAAGGCACCCCACTGCTCAGTGTCTGCGGTGGGCAACACCAAGAGTCCCTTACTCCACTGGGCAAGCACTGGAGACAGGTCAACACGCCGGGAGCAATTCACAAATGGGAAGAACTGTGTAAAAGACAGTACCCCTCTCCCCGGTCCAGGGGTGCCCTGAAGACGTGCCCAAGGCCTGGAGACTTGGGGGGAGGGGCTCTGTTCCTAACTCTCCTTTCGTGGCCTCTCGAGAGCACCAAATCACAAATGCGGGTGCCCATAAGGGAGGCCTGTCCGGCAAGTAGGGGGACGGACCCTAAAGAGGGAGAGAATTAGGGCGAAGTCTTCTTTGGAGGAACCGACGTTAGGGGCAGCCACGCCCCCCACCCCAACTCCTAACGCGAGTGCGGCGAGCGACCAGGCCCGCCTGCCGGCGCGC